ACAACATATACCTACGTAAAAATACGAAAATTTGCAAATTATTTTATGCTAGAGATTAATAAAAATGTTCTTTTTAAATCTTAAATTTAAAATTTTTTAATACCTAATCTATAATATATCCTAGACAGATAAATCATTTACGCTCAGAATCGTTTTTCGTGTACAATGATATAATATCATTGGATTCAAATTTAATTCCACCCATTACAGTAAACTACTTGTAACCTACTATACAACAAAGCGACATACACATACCCGCTTTTTTTTCTAACTTGTTAATTTTATTATATTCATTTTTAAAATATTTTTGAATTCGTCTTATATAAATTGCATATGCCTATGAATAGTTCAACTAAGTCAATTTTTTTTGAAAATTGCATGGTGGATTGAATATACTTATATAAACATTTGGTGAAAATTCCAGGTAAACTTTTGACCCCGCCCCCTCCCAAAGTACCAACTAGATTCACTTTCTGATCGAACGAGATACTGAAGTCGAAAATCGAAGAACTTTTTACGAAATAGGTACTAGGGAATTTAAAAATGTATTTACATTAAAGATGCTCTATTGTTCTCTTGTTAGGTCACATACGGAATTCGGTTCAATAATCTGGGCTCAAAATTATACTGATAAATTGGTTGAGAATGTTCAGTATAAATTCCTCAAGTCTATAGCATTTCGTTTAAACTTACCCATTTCTAGAGATTCATTTTCATTATAGTAGCTAATTCTATTATTATTCAGCCTTGTGAGGTCAGGCGTAATAGTTATCTGACGTCCTATTTATTTATGATCTTCTAAATAATTATATTGATTGTCCTGATTTATTAAATAAAATTGGTATTTGTACTCATAGTTATTCGTTTAGAAATTCTTGTTTATTTTTTGTACCTTTTTATAAAAAAAAATATGTACAGATTCATTTTTTCCTAGAGCATTATTATTATGTAATTCAATTTGTAATGAAGTCGATTTTTTTTTATGTCACGTGAATCTTTTAAATCAAAAGCTTTATACCTACTATTTAACTGAAATTTATTTATTTTATATATGTATTTATTTTTTGTGATTATTCACCTTCAAATTGTATTATTTTGTATATGTATGGTTGTTTCTAGATTATTATGTACTATATTTTATTTAAAGGGCTTGTCCCGTTAAACTTAATAATAATAATAATAAAATAAAATGTTCCGAAAATAATGTTTATCCGATCCTAAGAAAATTAACATGGATTTTGAACAAGCTGTAATCCAAGCAGCAAAAGCCGTCATTGGTGACCATTTAATAATGCAATAAGGTTGTTTTAATCATTTGTGCCAAAGCTCACATAGGAAACTACAAGAGTTAAGATTAAAAAATAAATATAATAATGATAAAGTCTTTAGTCATTATAGTAGTATGGTCGATGGCTTAGCTTTTTACCAGTACAGAAAGTGATTGAAGGCATGAAGTACTTGAAATCAATTTATAGATCCGATAATATACTGATTTTATTGACTATTTTGATGCGACATATGTTACTAAAATATACAAAAAAGTTGGAGTTTCAAAATTCAGACGAAATAAGCCATTGTATCCACCTGAAACAAGTTAAATCAATGTACGGGGGCGATCGCCCCCTTTGCCCCCGAGGAGTCGGCGCCTATGYATACAGTCATCCATCAATTTGTAAGCTGATTAATACATTTTKAAAGGAAGTGGGAGTAGATAAAGCAAAAATAGCATTACCTACATGACATGGGACCCATAAGTAAAAAACACGGATTAGAAAAAATATAAAATTACAATATTTATGTGAAAAAATTAGTAATAATGAGTTGACAGTACTACAGTAGAAGAGTTTTTAAATCGTATAGGTCACTTGTTTAAGAAAATGTAATTTATTTAAATGTAGGTAATATTGACAATTTTTTTAAATATGTTTATTTTGACTTAAGTAATTTAATTTATTAATATTACTGTAATAATGATCGATATTTATGTATTGAATTATTTAAAATTATTATTATTATTGTAGGCATCGATGTTTGTATTAAATTATTTGTTTTGTGATGTAGTATCATAAAATTCATAATACCTGTGTCCTATATATGATATAATTATAAATGGAAATGAAATAAAATATTTTAATTATATTTTCGGATTTTTTGTCTGACATAAAAAAAAAATGAATCCGGACTTTTTGTTCATTTTTTTTCAAACTGGACTTTTTGTCCCCGAACTTTTTGAMCGATTATCACCACCAGCCATCAGGATACTCCTCTATATAACTGACTATCAAGAATTACGATAATATTTATTTAGCCAAGTTTTAATATCAGTGCTGGCAGTAGAGTCATTGGCGCCCTGGGCGAGTAAACAAATATATGCACCCCTCCCCATATAAATAGTTATAAATAGTAGTAGTTGTATTTTAAATTAAAAATTCAAGTGCCATGATTTTATGGTTTCTTTACTTACGTCAACAAATCAAATTTAAAGAACATCACTTATGCTTATTGTACTACTTATAAATAAACATATTATTATACTGCATTATTTCATATATAAAAAAAAAACAATTTTATTTATTTATTTTATTATTTATATTAATTTAAATAAAAAAAAGAAAATTCTAAACCTTGATTGTTTTAAATTTTAACATTATATCATTTAGGCGCCCCCCCCTTTCAATAAGCTCCTTGGGCGTAGGCCCAGGTCACCCACCCCTAACGCCGGCCCTGCTTAATATAAATATATATATATATGTAACTATATAACATAATAATAACTAATAAGACGAATGCAGGAAAAAAATCCAGAGGAAAAAAGTCAAATTTTAATAATTAAATATAACAATTAAAATTAATGTATTAAATTAAGTATTATTTAAAAATCGTTTACACATTATTGGTCAAATATATAAAAAATAATTATAATGCATGACGTATATAATTATTGATACACAGGTTATAKTATGTTATTATTTATTAATTTATTATTCATAGTAATAAATATATTTTCGATTCTAAACAGCATAATGTCATAATGAATGTATTGATTTTATTAAACAAAAAATTTATGTTAAAAATATATTACATAAATTAATTTACCCATTTCAAAATAGCTTGTAGTTCATACTGCAACATGTAGATACCTACATTCAAAAAAGAATCACCCTGTACAAAGTATAGACTATATATTATCTAGGGTGTAAGACATAAATCAATTGATTTTACGATAATATCCACAAAGTATTATGTTATTTTTATTCAATGTACATTGTACATTATAATATTTACAATTTATTTTTATATATGAATACAATACAGTCGTATGATCAACTGTGTAAAAATTTTAAATTAATAATTAACATATAAGATATAACCTGTGTATTAATAATTATATATTATATATGTAWACAATTGACCAATAAATACTATGACCAATGTTTAAACATTTTGAATAATCCTTTAAATTTTATTTTTTTAAATATTTAACTATAATTATTTTTCATATATTTGACCAATAATGAATAATGTGTAAACAATTTTTAAATAATACCTAATTTAATACTTTAATTTTAATTGTTATATTTAATTATTGTATTTAGTCTTTTTTTTGTGGCTTATTTTTCCCATGGCTTTTTTTCTGTGGATTATTTTTCCCGTGGCTTTTTTTCCCTGGATTTTTTTTCTTGGCTTTTTTTCTGACTACCATGCATAGCCCATAGAGTAAAAATATACGTAGGAATCATAGACATATAAATATTATATTATATTTTATTTATATGTCTATGGTAGGAATACGGTTACCTCTCTTATCAAAGTTGATAACTGGTATTTGGTAGTCGTACGGGAGCAAGCATCAGCTGCGATCTTCACAGTTCACAGTCTCACAGACGTGTTTCGCCAACAGCAGTGATACGATAAAACGATATTTTGAATTTTGATTTTCATACTGAAATTAAATGTCCAATCATACATTTTAGTGACCCACGAGATAAATTGCACGTTTAAAAATTATGTCAACGAAACTTTTGGTAGAGAACGAAGACGATAATAACAAATCACAGGTTCATAATTTCCAAATCAGACCTACACACAATCAAAAGTAATTTGTAAAATTAATTATGATAATAATACAATTTATTTAATTATAAACAATATAAACATATTTGTGTACAGTTTTTATGTTCATATAATTATATTTAAAAAAATATATGTTTACCACAATTCTGTTTGTTATTTTTGATACATTTTTAAAATTCATGTGGTTCAACTTAAGCAAGGTTAGCACCGTCTATGATTGTGTTTAAAAAATACTCAATATGGGAACATAAAATTTTTTTTTTTGAAAAATTAGTGTTTTAAATTATGCAAATTTATTAATGTTTAAAGTAATTTAATTTAAATTCATCCCAGAACAATATTATTACTTTATAAAAATGCTTCTCCGAATTATATATTAACATTTTTCTCGACTTTTACATTCATAAAAAATTTTATTTTTATCTTGTAGACATGTAGTATTTTTGATATCTTAATTATAATTTATATTAAAAAATGTGGTGGCATTATTTTTTTTATTAATCTTAATATAAAACATTGGCTTCTGTGGCCATTAGTTTACAAATTTACGATAATTTAAAAATAGTTAACAATTACAATATTATATATACATTGTGGAATTAAGGGCTTAATTTAGGTTGTATAGCTGAATTTCTTTTGTAAACTGTAGGATGTTAGAGATTGATTGGGTGTCGGTCCTAACGCTTCTACGATTTGTTGAGATATGTCATATTTTTTCCTCGTGTCTTCATATTTTTGGCATTTAGTAATAAGTTATAATTATATAGTAATAAGTTATAGTATTATTATACCCTTAATAGTAGGTACACAGGCAAATGGTTATATATACAAGACTTGGTAWCAATAATTTACCATAGACACCTTGTCTAGATATACTTTATATTATCATATTCRTAAATAATTGTATTTTTTTTAGATTCAATACAAATATTGCAAAAGAAGCTATTCAAGAAACACTTCTCAAACACCTAAAGGATAAAGAATATAGTCAAATTCAAGCTGAAGTACTTTGCAAAACTATCGCAAGTGAAATCAAGGATAGACTTAAAGGTGTTTTTTATTTTCCTATACAAATTAATAAATTTGATACCTTCATTAGTCAATACTCATTAGTTTTATTAAAACATATTTAAAAAATGTTTCATCTGTTAAATGGCAGATTATTTTAATTTTAAAATAATAACTTCTATATTTGATTAAATAAACTATTTTAAATAGTAAAAGTTATAATTGTTTTTGTATTTCTGTATATTTTAGTAAACAAAATTAATAATAATTATTAGTTATTATTAGTAWAATTATTTGTAGTTTTGTCCTAAAATATTTTAATTTATAGATCAGTGTGTGGACAGTCGTTACAAATTAATGGTACAAGTTGTTTTGGGCGAACGACACGGTGCAGGTACAAAAGTTGGAGCGCGCTGTATTTGGGATGCTGACACTGACACTCAAGCCTCTGATCAGTTTTTAAATGTAAATTTATGTTTTTTAATATTGAATTATAAATTAAATTAAGTTAAAATCTATAAACTAATAGATACTTGATATATAATTTTTTTAATTGATCCCTGCTAAGATAACATATTATACATTTAACTTATGAAATATAAACTTTATGACTACTTTCAATAGTTAGTACTTCCTATCTAGTAGTTAGCTCTATAGATAATTTAAGGATTATTGTTTAAAATGAGTAATTAATATTTTGAATAAATGTTTATATTACATTTTTTTTTATAGATATTTAAAAAATAAATATTAAGTATTAATATCAGTCATATAATAACCAATCTTTCAATTTAAAAATATTATTAACTACTAATAATATGTTTGGAAAATATAAAAAATTTAATAACTTTTATTTAAAGGTATTAAATTAAAATTATTTTTTGTTTTAGGAAACTATATTTTGTATGGCAGTAGTGTTTGCTGTGTATTTTTATTAATCAATTAGATGTGTTATATTCTTTAATTTAGTTATCTTGGTAAGTTAGTACTTTATAATTTATTAAAAAGTATTATTTAATTGGTTTTTAACAATTCAAATGGTTTGGTTAATATATTATTATTTATTAAAATTACTATAAAGTATAAACCAATGCTTCTTAATTATAGGAACTATAAAAACTAGCATAAAATTGAACAAATCTAATATTTTGGTAATCATGTCTAAAGAAGAGGTTGATGATGTTTGGGATGATTTTATAAATTTACCTGCAGATCCTCCTGAAATGCGTCAAATATGTTTTTCATGCGAGTGAGTTTAATTCAAAATACCAAACATAAACTATTATGCTATGTCAAATGTTATTTATTCAMTTATAAATCATTTTAKTTTATTAATTATTTCATTGAAAATAAGATGAATATTTTAACTTTAAATATAACCCTTTATAATTTATAAAGTAYAGTATATGMATTGATCACATAAACATAATTTTGAATTTTCAGACGACCTCAAAATGTATGTTGGTGTAATTATTTGCCTAAAATAAGGCTAAAGCCTAAATGTCGAATTATTCTACTGCAACACCCAGCAGAGGAAAAAAGAAGTCTTCGTACTGCTCCTATGTTGACATTAGGATTAACAGAAGAAAGTTGTGTTGTTTATAAAGGAAAAAAATTCCCTACAAACAAGTAAATATATATAATAATATTATTGCTTATTTAAATAATTATGCTTATTGGTTAGTTTCATATACACATTAGTTTTATATTTGTTAATTTTAAAAAGTAAATAAATTGCTTAAATATTTAATAAAATAGCAATATTTTATCTTTAAAATCATATTTATGTTTGAATTATTTGCAAACATCATGTTTAATGTTACCAGTGAAGTCAAACTCATATATCATATGAGGCAATCGCTTCACTTTTTAAATGGGTGGGGTGGGTATAGGTGAGTTCTTGGATAATCAGTTAATGGGTTAACAAAGTTAAGTTTGGTGTTCTGTACATAATTGAGTGTATTTTTACATCACAACAGATGGCTGAAAAATTTGGGTGGATGGGTGAGTAAACAATTCTAAATTTTGCCTTACAAAAAATTCTGAGTTTGGCGCCACTGATTGTTATTGCATACATTATCCTYAATAAGAGAAATAATACCTGAAGTTTTATGTTTTTTTTCAGACATGTTGGTCTATGGGATATATTRACATCTAAACACTCAGTTTTATTGTACCCTTCTAAAAAAGCAATGGATATAGTTGATCTACCAAAAGAAACAGAACTTCATAATTTGATTATACTTGATGGAACTTGGCCACAAGCAAAAGCTATTTATAATAATACACAACTTCTTCAATCAATGATACATGTTAGTATTTATATAAATTTATTTTTATRTAAATAGTTAAAATCAATATAGACCACTATTATTGTCAGAAACCTTTTAAMATTTTTAGTGGTACCCCTCAAATGTTTTTATGTTTGGTTAAGTAGATTCTTGTACAATATTTGCATTAAAATATGTGTTAATTGTATCACTATATCAGTAGAATATATCCCTTTTACCCCTTTTTTTTCTTAAGTATCAACAATTTATAATAAATATCTAATATAAGTTACAATTGTTGAATAATTATAAGTTTTTAAAAATTTTAAAGATAATGTATTTTCCCATAGAAGTAAATAATTAATTATAAATTTTAAATTATAAGTTGTAACAGACTTATTACTTGTACTATTCTAAACTAGGACTAAAGGTCACTTAATCAAGCATCAAACTTTCAGCCTCCCTTTTTAAAACTTATATTGTATTAAAAATTTAAAGTATCAAAAGAAGTATRAAAAAATTGAAACATCAAAAATATTAAAATGCTGGTATTAACCATAGAATTAAAGAATCGGTATTCATATATCAATACTTCCAGCCCTATGTTGATTTAAAAAAATGTATTAAATTGATTTTTTAACAGTTGCATAGTAATTTGTTAGGTATTAATACCTATTTGTTAATACTATTTATATACAGTGAAACCTGATTTAACAAAGGCCTACAAATAATAAACAAAATGATTAAGTTCAGGCAAAAAGATATTATGTATTTTAATATATTTAAACTTMTTAAGTACAACAGAAATTCTATTATGAACATGGRTAATAACATTTYTCCCCAGTGGCTCCCTATATTGTTCATAATGGATAATATTTTATCAATATCAAATGTAGCTATAGAACAAAGAAATAGTTCTTAGATGCCATCAATGAGTTTATCGTATACAATAATAACATTAATTGCATACCTAGACCTAGCCAATATTCAATATAAACACATTTTGTAATATCATATTCTAATCACTAAAATAATAATCAATATTCATTATTCTTTTTTACACTAATTATTCAATTATTTTTCTTGTGCATTTTGGTATAATAAATAATAATAAATAAATAAAATAATATACCTATAATACAGTGGGATCATGATAAGTGAAAACACTCAATAACCATGTGCAGGCTTCATATATTTATATTCTTCTTTTTTGGCTGCCTAATAAACAATATTATATACAATTTTAAATAATTAGACTAATTTTATGACTATTAATTTTGTGCATGCGTACAATAACTTTTTTTCTTAATAGCATGATCTATTTTTGACCACAAATTATTTTTTCTTGTATTTTTTAATCATTCTTAGTGGTTGAGTTTCTTTTCAAAGTTAAAAATTGTCTGAGTTATAGTAATTTGATTTTATGTTATTTACACAGCTATGATAAATTGTAAAATACTTAATAATAAAAATACAAACATTAATTTTTTTTATTCATAAAATTTTATTTATCTAACAAATTGTTCAAAATGTGCACCAGGGTTCTATAAACAACATTTAACATGTATTAAAAATTATTAAGTATTTTACAATCTATTATACCTATGCAAATAACAAAATATCAAATTGCTATAATTCAGTCAATTTTCAACTTAAAAAAGAAACTTAACCGCTAAAATTCAATAAAAATGACTAAAAAAAATAATTTGTGATTAAAAATAGATCATGCTATTAAGAAAAAAAAAGTTATTATACACATGCGCAAAATTAACAGTCACAAAATTAGGTTAATTATTTGACATTGTATATAATAATGTTTGTTAGGTAGCCAAAAAAGCAGAATAGAAATATTTGAGCCTGCACATAGTTATTGAGTGTTTTCACTTATCGTAATCATACTATATCATATATGATATACACATACATTTAAAATTCTCTAAAAACTGTCTAACATGGACACTTGATTGTTTTGTGAATGTTCGTAATGGTCACGTTTTAATTGTGCATGCTATTAAAATCTTTTTTTATTTTGGTCTATATGTTGAAATGCTTAAAATTCAATTTAGCTTTATAAGCTTATATCTTGTTTAATAATTTAGGTAAAATTGATGCACAAATATGAAAGTCATTATATTATAAGGACCCAACCAACAGATGGATGTCTTTCTACATTAGAAACTGCAATTGAAGCATTAACAGTATTAGAAAATGATGAATCATACAAAAATATAATGCTGAAACCCTTAAATGCTCTATGTAATTTTCAACTTCAGCATGGTGCTGTAACACATCAAAGCAAAGAATTTAAAAAACGAAATCGAACTTATCCTAAGCTAATTGGAAGACGACTTCGACAATATCTAGATGATGGAAATGATTATTAATGTAATTACTTTTAGATTATTAATAATTATCATGGTTATATTTGTTATTATATTAATTATTATCTTTGTGATGATGAAAATTATAAGTAAGTACTTTATTAAAAAAGTTTTATTTTAATTAATTTTATGGGTTTCACCTCACGATATAAAAATATTATACATAAATCCCTTAAAAAAACTTGGTTTGATAAATTACACTTACATAGACCATATATTGTACAATTCAATCGCCTACGTATATAACACTACCTTCTACCCAGCCACTCATTCATAAAACTTGGACTAAATGATTTTCCATTCTATACATATCATCTAAATAAATGTATTTATGATCTATCCCATATTTTATTTGACTGCCTTGCTTTACAGACCAATTGCCTAATTTTAAGTAACGCCTTAAAAACTCTTAATATTTTATTTTAATATCTACTCCATATTTCTCAACGCAAAGTCCACAACTTCCATTAAAATTGTAATTTCTTTTATATTGGATGTTGGTTTTATGATATAATTTTATAATGTTATTTATAATTTATTATTATGTTCAATTGTAATTGTTGAGCTATCATAGTTTAATACTAGAAGCTAATAAAAAAAAAAATTAATTTTATCTGATAAGTTGTAACCCATAGACAATTGTTTGTTAACTATTACAAATAATTAAAGTATATTATATAAACATTGTAAGCACATTTATTTTGGTAAAATGTATTATTTAAGACTATCAAATGACAATATAAAATTCACTTTTCTATTTTACATTTCATTAATTACTCAGTACCTATGTGGTATGGTTAAATATCACATACAAGACATTTAACAAGTGGCAGCTATCCTATGGCCCATTCACGGCAACATCACAAACACATGAACAATGTTGGATACAAATAATGTTACAGATACACACTCGAGCGTCAAACCTATGGTCTTACCAAGTTTTACGACAACAGTGGTACTACTCGTACCTACTCGTGTGGTGATATTGTATAGCAAATATTAGTTTCACCTCGGCACATCTTGTTTTGATGGCCTGTACTATCTTCATTAATTAGCATGTAAAAATATTTTCGACTACTCATAAATTGATGACTGTCTACAATATATGACAGCAGTGTCCTGAACTTCAACGCCTCCGCAGCCCAAAAAGAAAAATTCTATCCTATAGTATGAGATCTACTAATAATGTTACATGTAGTTAACAGTATGCTTTACTATCATGTTTTACACATCTTAAATTCTAAACCTCTTATTGTAAAGTTGCTAAAAACAGTTAAAGTATATACGATTTCTTTTAAAATTTTGATTAGTGAATATTTAGCTTCCAAGTGAACTTATTTAATCATAATGTAATGTTGGTTAGTAATATATGTAGATTATAATATAACAGATAACACAAATTGAAAGAAATCAAAAAAATCTGCTTAAAGAATTAAAATAAATAATTCTCATTAAAGATACAGGTGTAATAGTGGGCCTCAGAGTAATTTAAAATGAGAATTGTAAAATTAATACACAATAGTATACATTTAAATTTTAAGTTTAAAGTACAATAAAAAAATATATGAAATGATTAAAAATAAAGAGAAAAGAGAAATTTTGGTTTTATTATGTAATATAATGTAATATTTAATTTATTATTATGTTAAATTGTAATTGTTGAGCTTTTATAGTTTAAAACTAACTTATAAAAAAATAAAAWTAAAAATATTATTATACATTTAAAGTTTGATTGTTGACTAAAATCATCAAAATATACACAATTTTCAAATTATTTTTCAGTTAGAAATTTGTTAACATTTTTCTTTCCATTGTTAATATTAAAAGTTTTAATGATTGATTCGCCATAAATTTTTCTATTCAACAAAAAAATATATTTGTATTGAAATGGTGTATTAATTTTTTAAGAGTGTTTGAATTTAAAACTTTTATGTCATACAATTTTCGCCGATATCGAATTTTCATTTTTTTTTTATTCTATAAATTTCTATATAATTTTATTCGTTTAGTCAAAAGCTTCTTCAATGAACTAACTATAGAGAATAGTTTTTCGGTTTATAAAATAAGATTTTAATTTAGACTACAGTCTATAAGTGTGTAAATTCTTGCTATCAGATTTCTTCAAGATTTTTTTGCTTTCTAAAATGTAGTTGTTAGCATGCGCCCGTGATCCCCTTCCCATTTTTTTTCATTACCTAATTTTAYTTGAGTTTATATTTATTTTTTTACATTCTGACATCCTCTAAATTGTTTTTTGTCATCGTCAATGAGCAAGCAATTGTAAATAGTTTTTCGATTTAGACATTTTAGATTATACACTGCAGTCTGTATWGAACTAGTATGTATTTATATTGTATGATTTTTTTTAAATTTTTTATTTCTTAAAATGCATTTGGTTGCGGGCGCCCGTTTTCCGCTCTCCATTTAAGATTCTGAGTGGAGCGATGGATGCTTCGATTTTCAACATCAGTAGCTTTTCCGGTTGAAAAGTGAATCTAGTTGGTGCATCGGGGTGGTCAAATTTTGAAATTCTAAGTAATTTTTAAAAGCACCGGGAAAAACATAAAAAAAGAGAAAAACAATTTTATATATTGATGTAACTGGTAACTCTAAAACAAACTACTGTAGACTCCTATTATTTTCACCGAATTTTCAAATCTTTTTATGTTATTTAGAGACATTTTCAATATTTTTAGTTTGTTTTTTCATAAATGACGATAACATTTTATTTGTCGGGTAAAAAAGTTCCAAAATTTATTACAAGGCTCCTAATATGTTGTTACAATGTTAGTTAAAAAGTATTAAAAATACATGGTTGCAATTTTTTTAATAAACAACTTGAAAATTCGAATTATGACAAAATACATAAAAATCATGAAAATTTGCAATTTATTTTGAGTTAAGAATTTATGTTTTTAAATTTAAGATTTGAAAATTTAATACAGGATTCTTCATAATTTTGTMTACTATTATCAAATGAAAAATGTCTACCGAAAAGTCAAATTAAATTTTTATGAGTATTTGAATTAGAATATTCACTTATTTTCTCTTGTACCTACCAAGTACCAATATTCTTATTTTATTTTATTCAAAACAAATAACTATTGAAACTTGAAATCCACAACATAAGTTATTTTATCAATTCCTATATTTGATAAAATTTTCAAAATATTTCAATAATTTTTAAGTAATTCATAGACATTTGAAATTGTCCGTTATTTTTGTTKTTTTTTTTGTGTCAGTCAACAAGTTTTGGGGCAGTAAAAGTGCTTCAATTTTCGACTCTAATTGGTACTTTGAGGGGTCAAAAATAAAATATTCTCAATATTTTACTTAATAATTGGGATAAAGAAACTAAAAATTAAGCAAAATTTACGCACAATCAGTTTTTGACAAATCGATTTTGGTTTTTTATGTAACTTTAAATCAAATAACCATATATGTATGAAATTTTCACCGAATGTTTATATAAGTATATTCTATCCACCATGCAATTTTCAAAAAAATTGTCAACCTACATTGAACTATTTATAGGCATATGCAATTTTCGATCATTATTAGTTTTATTTAAATTAATATAGATAAAAATTTATTTTTTAAGGCTCCTAAACATATTGTTACAATAGCAGATGAAAAATAAAATAAATGTAGTMACAATTTTTTTYTATAAGCATTCCAAGACTGAATTTTGACAACACTTAAAAATACAAAAATTTATAAATTATTTTATGCTAGAAATTCATAAAAATTTTTCTTTTTAAATCGAAAATTTGAAAAACTTTAATAATCTACAATATATCCTAGACAGATAAACTGTCTCCACTCAGAATCGTTTTTCCTACACAATGATATATCATTGAATTTAAATTTAATACCATCCATTACAGTAACCCACTAGTAACCTACTATACAACAGAGCGACATACACATACCCGCTTTTTTTTTCTAACTTGTTAATTTTATTATATTCATTTTTTAAAATCTTTTTGAATTCGTCTTTTATAAATTATTACTAGAGGCTCGAGCACGTTACCAAAACGAATTGGTTGATGGTTGTATTGCTATTTATTTGTATAGTTGTATTGGTCTGGCCCGCGACTGCTTTCAGCTTTGCTGGTCCTGCGATTTATACAATGTCGATGATAACGGAAGAACCTTTCATAACGACGTTTAGAACTACAACAACTTACTGTGGACGTAGAGTGTAGACACTGTTGACTGTCCCTCGTCGGCCATTACCCACCAATCACCAGTAATTGATTTCGTTTCCAGTCAATTATTTGTTAGTCCATGATTAATATAGATAAATAATGTAAACAAGTTACAGATAATATATTATAATATTTTAATCTATTCTYAATTCAGTATAAATATTATAAATGTAATATTATTATTATTTATTAATATTATTAATATTAATTATCTATGGTTATATAATTTTATTATATTCAATAATTATTTGATACTTTCATGTCTTATGTTATAAAATTAATAATAAATGATCCCATTGGGTATTAAATTATTATTATCACAATAAAAGTATTATACATTATTAGCCATACGAATAAATATTAAATTGACATGATAAAAATTAAAGATTAATTAATAAATAATAAATATACTACAAAAACAAATATAAAATAATTTTTATCAAGTAAAATACTAATACTTACATACAATATAATTTAAACTTTAATAACTGTTGTCTAGTTTAAATTTAATACATCGAAATATTCGAAATATATTTCAAATGGCTTCGAAAAAGTGTCTGAATTTAGCAAAAGTGAAAGACGAGTTAGTCGATGGTGTATATATCAGACCATCAAAGAAAAAAGTAACTCACTAATTTTTTATGATCTTATATTTTATAAAAAGTAAACAAATATTATTATTGGTTTTATAAAAGATAATGACATCGCAAATCGTCACTAATGACGAGCTAACAAATTTGATTCAAGAACGTTTGGCTAATCGGCGTACTGGTGAACGTACAGAATTTGCTAATCAATTAGCTAGAAAATTAATTAAAAAGTAAGTAAAATAATGTTTAAATGTTTCATGGTTTTAATTAAATACTCTACCTAATTTAAATTTTATATTTTCAAATAGGGTATTTGCTGGACTGCCTTTGTAGTCTGTAGAAAAGTATTTATAGAATATTTTGGTTATTGCAACTATAAGGGTTGCTTAATATATTGAGGCTGGGTTATAGTTTTTAGATTAGATTACTGACTCTATAAGACTGTGTAGTTGTTACTTGTTTTACATTAACCTATTGCACTATTCACGCTTTTGATTTATTAGATCATCATGATAACTGATGTGTTTTCAAATTTTAGTTATTATTGTAAAGCTTAATAGACTAGAAAATGGAAATGTATTTGTTAATGATAATTATTTTTAAAAAAAGTCCATATTATTATTTATAGATGTTTAATATGGTATTATGGTATATTGGTTGCTTCAACACACAGACATATTCATATTTTTAATTAATCAACTATGTTTGTGGGGATAATATAACCAATTATGTCCCCATAATTTTTTATGAGAGTTTACTGTATACTACACTGAACCACGTTGGAGTATAGATGCCTAATTTTTTTTGCTCCGATGCAACATAAAAGTATTGGAGCAAAGTTTGACAACTTAAAAAATTACTATTGCAATTTTAATAATGCATCAAAACAAAATTATAAAAATTAATTATTTAAAGAAATTTTACACATGTAGTAGAATAAAAGACCGAGAAGTATCACTAACAGCGATATTGTTGTGAGATTCATTTTTTGAATGTTTTCTGTAATATTTATTATTTTACATTCCTGTCGAGTGTCGGTAATGTAACTGTATAAGTATTGATCAATATTACCTATGACTTATTATTGGGTGTTGCGTACTTACGTGACGGTTTAGTAAAAACCTACTATACTTTTATTTATGCTGTATGATTAACCTTAATTTATCTAAAATAGTTTTTAATATAAATAGTTTTTAAATTTAGAATAAATTATATAGTCAAAAATAAACCAAAGTTAAAATTTATACTTTTTTTTATGGTTTGTTTGAGAGTATATGTGGTATAATCATGATATTTTAGGAAAAGCCTGAGAGTGTACGGTGAATATGTAGCATACTCTATGGGACCACTACTGAATATTACTATAAACGTATTGTTTAACTGTGCATGCAAAAYAAAAGAATTGTTAGAGATATAAAGAGTGATTCAAGCATTAAATTCAGACTGTGTAATTATATGGTTAAATTGCTTACTAAGATAAATATAAAAATTTATATTTTTTAATATTTTAATAAGTTATATCTAATTTACCTAATATTTTAATTGTCTTTAACTTTTGCAGATTGCATGATCAAGATGTAAAGCTTCGAAAAACTAATGGGAAAAAAAGAAGTGGGTTAGTTACTCAAATTATAGATGAAAAAAGTATGTGAAAATTTAAAAACTACATTAGTTATTAATAATATATAACAAATAAAATCTTTAAATTTTATATGTGTAGTTATATATAATAATGCAATTTTATCTTAATATGTAGGTGGTCACTTAAATATGGAAAGAGTTAAAGAAGAAGTTCTTTCTGAATCTGATTTAATTGATGATTTTGATGCAGATAATACACCACCTCCTGTAATGCAAAACAATATTTTTATATTACATTTGAATAAAACAAAGACTGTTTATTAAACCAAATATCTAATTACAATTTTTAATTGTTTTAGAAGAAGCGTAACCCCCCTAAGATGACTTGTAAAGAAATGGCAATGACTATTATAAATTGCAAAAAAGTATTAGAAGATAAGACAACATTAGATAAAAAAGTTGCAAATAAGTTTACATGTGCTCTCAAGTCAAGATTAGCTTATAAGTGAGTTATAATATAAAATTAATTTTAAAAATGTATATCATGTTATTTTTTTTTCAGATTGAAAAAAAAACCAAATAATTCAAGTAAATAATTTATTTTTATTTTTCTGTGCTTATCTTATACTCTGTCCCACAAGAAAACATGCTGATAGAATGAGTTACTCCAGCTGACTGTGCCAAAAATTCACTTCAAGTGTATTGATATCGCCTATCAAAAATATCAAGCGGTAGTGCTACTGTTACCATGCCACCATYGACATCTACTGACAATCACAGTCAATCTGTAAAGATTTTGGTGAGAGATGCGCAAATCAGTTTTCATTTTTCACATGGCATGTTCTCTCATGAGACAGAGTATAGTATTTAATTTATTCATAAAGTTGTATACATTGAGATTTGAGAATATTTATTTTCATGAAAATTTATTATTAAATGGCAACCAATAAGAAGTCCACTACTTAGGTAGTTACAATTCTGTAAACAAACATACACAACCCCTAAAAATTATGATTCCCCTGGTTAAGCTTCTTTGGAGTTGGAAAATAATTTTTTATTTAATTGTATTATATTTAATATACCCTATTTAAAACCAACTTTATACTGGTTTTAGTTACCTAACCATGCCACTGCTCCATGGTAATAAATGATAGTGGGTTTAGGAAAAATCTTTAGTTTACTAAGAAGTGTATGTAATTTTTTTTTGAATTATATTTACTATATTTATGTGATGGCGTTAAAACGGTTTAAAATTAAATCGGTTTTACATTCTTAAATTTTATATTGTGAGCGTTTTAACGCCATCATATATATATTATGTAGTAATTGTAATAATATAAATTATCAACAATATTATTATTATATTCTAAATATAAGTACATTATTTACTATATTCATTAGATAGAAGCTAATATAGATTTTATGTATATTTTAGTTTATTTGGTAAATTAGAATTAATTTTAAACTATCAAGTATATACTTACTGACTACTGTGTGTAAATTACCAACTTGTAATATTATTTATTTAAATTATTTTTTCAATAATATAGTATACAAATAAATTCATAAATTATTTTAAATTAATAATAGAAGAGAAAAATATTTTGAAACTGTACAGTGTATATAATATACATACATATATAATATTTATATTTATATATTTTAAATAATTCTAATATTATTGTAGAATTAAATTTATTAACATATTTCACTGTACCAATTTTTGTGTTCAAAAATAACTTTTGTTTGTTATGTATTTAACATTATAAAATAAATTTCAGAAAAAGTTTAGACTAAATTGTTTATTATTATTTTTACTATAACTATTACTTCAAATAAATTAGTATTCAGGCACAATGTAAGACATGTCACATTGCTACCAAACCTAACGGCTGATAAAAATAATATTACACGTAATATTCTGAGTACCATTGATTGGGATATTGAATTTAAGAAATCTTRTAATTGAAGCTGCAGCTAGTCGTCTACAAAAAATTTTAATAATGCTAATTGAGCAATATGTACCGGTACATATATTTCGTAGCTCAACTTTCCCCATACGGACAACGCCTAAATTGAAAAACTTAATTATTAATAAAAAAACTGAAACAGTTTGGTACACATAGGCGTAACTAGGGGGGACTTGGGGGGCTAAGCCCCTCCAAAACATATTTTCGCCCTCCTGTCAAAATTCCTAGTCCCACCAACGGAAGCTACGTTTTTAAACTTAATTATCTTTTTAAATTTTAAATATCTTTTTTTTTATTAATATCTTGGAAAAATGTTTATTTTTTTGGTTATCAAATTGTTGTGTAATGACCCTGTGACGTAATACGTATCATTTCGTCTATTTTTAACTATATAAATACTACTTAGAAGTTGTCAATAAACTAAACACAAAAATTGACGTAAAAGACGTACGATTATTCGTAAAAAAATGTTATAATAATATGTTACTATTTTAATGTTAACCTACCTCAATACCACATTTTTATAATTTGTTTTATACATGCCATACACGATACACACTACAAAAATTATAATAATAAAATAATGTTATGATTTAAGGAATAAGTATAAGAGGGTGTGGGGGGCAGAGCCCCCCACATTTGTTATATATATTAAATATGTTAGGGCTTCAGCCCCCCCTAACTTTAAGGTCTAGTTAAGCCTATGTTGGTACAATGCACTATCATCTTACATTTTCATTGTTACGTGCTCAAGTAAAACTTGAGTCAAGGTTGGCATATGAATCCTATCTATGTAAGATAAATACTTCTCTCCAGAATGACCCACATAAATTTTGATGGTTGATTAATAATCCCCGATATACATCAGGTATCCCAAGTGTTATGCATTATGGTRATATCATTGCATCAGATGTAGATATTGCAAATCTATTTTCACRACTTTTCAAATCCGTTTATAAGTCCCCGTTACCTCCCCCACAATGGAATGCTGAAAATATTGGAATTAAACCATTTACATTTTTGCCTTCTAGACTTACTGTTTAACTTAATAAGGWAGAAGAAAATTTATTATCCCTTAAAACAACTAAGAATAATGGGCCTGATGGTATATCAGCTCAATTTTTATTTAGTATCAAAGCACAGTTAAAATATCTTCTATTGTTATTGTTTAACCTCTCATTAGCCGAAGGTATATTTCCATCAATATTGAAAACGAGCCAGGTAAAACCTATTTATGAATCAGGAGATTCAGGGTCAGTATCTAATTATCGTCCAGTTTCTGGTTTACCTCTAATTGGAAAATTATTCGAAAAGATTGTCCATAAATGTATTGAACGTAKATTTAAACTAGTTTTATCAACAAATCAACATGGGTTTTATGGCGGTCGTTCCACAACAATTAGTGTCTTAGAACTATCTGCGTTTATCAGGGATAGCTTCAAAAATATGAATCATGTTGATGTGATATTCACTGATATTTCTGAAGCTTTCGACTCAATAAACCATATAGTGTTAATTGATATTCTGGATAGATTGGGTGTAGATGAACCTTTGCTCTCCTGGTTCAAATCCTATATAACCGGTCGACGACAGTTTGTATCCTTTTTTAATTAAAAATCCACGAAGTATTAAGTCATTTCTGGAGTCACACAARGTGGGCTCTTGTCTCCACTTTTATTTAATATCCTAATATAATAAATACATTATGCGAATCTGTTGACAGCAAATTGCTATTATTTGCGGATGATGTAAAATTATTTAATTGCGTTCAATTTGAGTGATGCTATTATTGCTATTTCGTTACAAAAATCGTTGAATAAGTTAGTCCATTGGTGTAAATGGTGTAATACAGTTGGATTAGAGCACAATCCATAATTKTAAAGTTATGTCTTTTTCGAGACGCCACTCAAYCATTCGATATGATTACTCTATTGATAACGCGATACTACAGCGAATAAACCAAGTTGAAGATTTAGGTTTTATTTTTACTCAAACGTTATCGTTTGCAGTGTTTGTACCTCATGTCCTCATATTGACTGGATAATAGGCAAAGCATTGCGATCATTAGGGTTTATAAGGCGACATGCTGCAGTGTCAGTCATGTCTGTAAGATGTTTGTTAATATTATATACTTCTCTTGTTAGATYACTTGTAGAGTATGGGTCTGTGGTATGGTCTCCAAGGACCAAATGTGACATAATTCAAATTGAACGTGTTCAGAATCGTTTTTTGAAAATGGTTTCTCGATCTATGAGCATTATTCACGAACCTCRTGAAGTTATGACTATAAACCTGTCTTAACAGCACTACATTTATCCACCCTGAGCGAAAGAAGAAATATGAGTGATATTTGATATTAAATGTTTAAATGGTTTAGTCTCTGGTGCAATTGACTCACCAGACTTGTTATCTAGGATAGATTTTCGAATTTCAGGTATAACCCGTTCACGTGACCACCACTACTTTGCTCCAGTGACAAAATATTATTTGGATGATGRTCCTCTAATGAGAGCTATGTCTTAAGTTAATAGTCAAACTAATTAAACTATTTTTCTAATTTAGGTTTTCGTTTYCGTTATCTTTAATTTTYAGGAGTCCACTATGTCCACTATGTAATACTGTATAATTTTAATTTATTGATACTCAATGTGTTATATAATATAATACATAAATATGTTATAATGTATAATATTCATTAATAAGTAATATATTGTAAAAGCTGTATGGCGTTTAAAAATAAAAATATATAAAATAAATTATCACTTATTTTTACCCTTGCTTCTAATAAAAATTTAACKGTCTCCGACTCTATGTCATGTCTACAATCACTAATAATATCCTATTATTTTAATTCCCACTAATYTCCCTTAGTACTTAAAATAAAAKTRATCATCCTAAAACTATAGCAATCCAATTATATTATCCAATTTCTTTGGGTTCCTAGTCACATTGGTATACATGGGAACGAGGTCCTCGACAATTTGTCGAAATCTACGTCTAATTTAATCTGTCCGGGCCKCATCCAACTTCCTCGAACCGACTTCATCRCATTTTTAGGATGTTATATATCYAACCTCTGCTCTACATACTGKTCCAACCTCCCAGCTGATTTTGCCACCAGGTACAAAAACATTGCACCAAACATTAAAAACAAAACATGGTTCAATAACCATAATTTACCCAGGTCAACTATTTGTTAATTTAACCGTCTACTCATATGTCATTCATTACTACCTGCTCACACTTACAAATTTGGGTTAAACGATTCCCCACTCTGCACTCTACATCTTAATGAAAGAGTCAGCGATCTCTTTTATCTTCTCTTCAACTGCCCTTCCCTGCATGCGAAGCACATTATTTTGTTCAATTCTCTAAAATCTATTAACATCCYCCTCATCATTTTCTCCATCCTTAACTCCAATTCTGAATATGTCATCAATTCAATTATCAATTTTATCCCGATGGTTGGTTTTATCATATTATAATATTATTTTATTTATTTTTGTCCTATCTTTGTTTTATTGTTTAATATTTTATTGTTAATTTAGTTATGTTTTGTACATGATAAATGTTGAGTTGTAATATTAATATATATTATTACCTACTAAAAGCTAATAAAAAAAAATTTWAATTAAAAAAAATATTGAACTTAATGTGGCGAATGAAAATTACACTTATTAATATTATCACTTGTAATTATTTATCATAATCTTGTTTCAAATTGAACGTAATAAACCATATAATTTTAAATTCTATGCACGGACTAAGATATATCTTTGTCCGCAATTCTTAGCAAAGCAAGTTGGTACTTTTGATAAAAAATTTGGGAAAAAATTGGGTAAAAAATGGTAAAAATTAATAGGTACGAATGGTACGATTTATTTGAATGAATGTTATTCACATATATTAATAATGAATGAAGACAATGCACCTATCTCCTCTCCCAATAAATGTGTTCACCCTTCACCTATACCTGCTATTGAGCTATCTTGTACCTGACACGTCCTGTAGTATGTGTTCTACTTTGGTTCTACTGGCAATATTGCGAGTTAGCGGCTACAGTATGCGACATGCACTTTAAAGCAATATTTAAACGATATTTTATTCTTACAAGTTATTTACTAAATAATATTTAGTAACGGATGTTTTAAAAGTGGTTTTTATGATGAAATAAATAATACCTACTCAAATTTATTATAAAGAGATAGGTCGCACATTATTTTAAAACAAAAATGTCCATTTCCCTTAATAATTCGTTAATGTGTTCTTTTTATTAATTCCTATGAATCACA